AAAAAAAAAAAAATAGTTTAACATATGTTAAATTCCAACATAATAATAGTAAGTTCCAGTACAACTTAATAATTAGGAAACATAATAAGTTTATAACCACATTCAACAACGAAATTCCACTTTAATTGCATCACTCATTATATGCCAAGTTTGTTAATGACTCATTATTTCTAATATTGGGAGGTGTAGTTTAAAAAATAAAATAATAAAATAAATAAAAAATAAGCAATTACATGAAATCACAAGAAGTAAATATAGAGAAATAAAAGATAAATAATGTACAAAGAAAAATATTTTTTAAATTTCAAAAGAAATTAAAAAGTAAAATAAAATTAAATAATTAAAATAATAGAAATAAAAAGTTATAAAAAATAAATTAAAATAAAAACAAAAAGGAAAGAAACTAAAAAGCAACCTTGCAATTACACAGTGTAATTACCACCAATTCTCACCTCCCCTTGCGAATTGGAGAGTGTAATTACACCCCTCCAATTACACCCAATTCCATGCTGACCAAGTAATTAAATTACTTGGCCAAACAAACATGCCAAACAGTGTAATTACACCCGATTACACCCAAATCCATTTTCAAGGTGGCTTTCCAAACAAGCTCTAAATGGTAAATATGACAAATATATCTAACATGAAAATTACTAAATGCAAGATATAGCGTAGAGGTAAGCAAGTCTATAGCATTTGTGTTATTAGTAGCATTATCCATCGAAACCGACATTATTTTATCACTAATGCAAAAATATCTGCAAATACCCGTAACTGCGCTAGCAATAAACTGCCTGTGTGTTGTGAAGCAATTATTCTATAAGCAATTATGGGTTTTTGTATTATCCAATCCTCATCAATCCAATGACACGTAACAGTAAGGTAATCTCAGTCATTGTTAATTCTACGAATATCAGTTGTAATAGCAACACGACAATTTGTATGAGTAAATAAGTAGCGAAAATATTGTTCATATTCATGCTTATATTTATAAATATCACTATTTACGGTTGTGCAAGGAAAACCTTTATAAGTAGGATTATAAATTTTTTTAATGTAATGCACAAACGCAGGGTCAGAAGGAAAACTGTAGGGTAAGCACATGACAGTTACCAATTTTGCCAATTCTTCCCGATCTTTTCTTGGATCATAATATAAAATACCACCGGTAATCGTGTTAATGCTCGGTTGTAATTGATTTGAACAAGTACCACTAGGATCAGTATGACTAGGACTACGTGCACTTTTCCCCTCGGCCGGAGCCCTATCATTAGGGTGTTTAGCTGTGTCTAGCCAAAGTTCCCATCTCCGACCGCGTTGGTGCATATTTAAAAGCTAACTCTTGACCACAAGTTTTACACTTAGCCTTACTTTTTTCAACTAGTTGAGTAAAAAAATGCCAAACAAGAGATGTTTTCATCCATTTGATAGGTTCTCTAGAAAAAGTAGGGGCAGTAACGGGAGTATCAGTTGGGTCATCATTAAGATTAGCAGTGTTATCACTAGTTGGGTCAACATGAGGAGCATGACTAGTGGGTATATCATCGCCCGGTTGAGCTTTATCAAAATCAATTTCCTCATCATCATTTTCATTAATAGTAGTATAATCATTAGTGTAGCGAGCATTCATTAATTCATGGCCTAAAAAATCATCGGGTGCCGTATTATGGCAAAATTCAGTGTCGGTAAATTATAATAAACTGTTATCGGTATCAAGAATAGCAGGTGCAGGACGACTACGGGGTTTGGATCGGGGAGCCGGGGGCGGGGGAGGAGGAAGAGCAGTACCACTAGTTTCGCCAGTCTTAGATTTTGCCTTATCCTTACTTTTCCCGTGCCCAAAAATATTTCTTAAGGAAGACATCTTAATTAATCAAGTAATAGCAACTAAATAAAACAAACAAAACTATAATATTAAGATTTAAGAGTTGGAACTAGTTTACCGAATTGACGAACAACTTGGCGAAAATTGATTATCGTTGAAGACTTGAAGACTCCAATTCACCAACTTCACAATTTTTTCACAAATTCTAACAAACTCAATATTTTATGACTATTTTTTTTTAATAAAGTAAGCAATAGTAGCAAACACACAATTTTTTCACTATTTTTTTATAAAGTAAACAATTGTAGCAAGTATTGAAGAAAATTAGAGAGATATTATGATAGATTGATATTGATTTTGTAAGAAAACTGAAAGATGAGGGGGTATTTATAGTAAAAGACAGGAAAAAAGTATAATAATAAAAAAGTTTGGGTTAAAAATTAGTTTTTTTTTAGGGGGGGGGGGGGGGGGGTTAAATGGCTATTTTTTGAAGACTTTTTAATCATTTGGCCAACGACTAATCTGTTGGGCCCGTTTGGCCCGCCATGGGACCGGTCCGGTCCGGTCCCATGGCGGTCCTAAATGGTAAAACCGGCCTACGAGACCGGCACGAGCCCACCAACCGCGTGCCAAACGGTCCCGGCCCGTTTAGCCCGCGGGCCGGTCCCGGCCCAGTTGTCAGCCTTATGCGCAAATAAGACTAGGCAAAATGGTAGATGGGTGTCTAGTGTGGTCTATAACACTAATGTATTTAGCTAAAGGAAGCAGAAAAGTAGGTTAACAAGGACACAAGCATTAAGTAGAATGTCCTACTGCAGCAATAGATGACCAATTGAACCCAATTTTCATGATTCACTCCACGTGAGCAAACAAGACCCGCTTGGTGATCGCTCTTAACTTGTAGCCAAATAAGCAATCAACTCTAGCACTGCGCCATACTGGTGGTTCAACATTAGCATTTCACCAGGTTTTACCATAATAGTGAGACTTGTGGGCAGAGTATAGTCGTAAAAACATTTTAAGAAATAAAGGGGACCATAATTCTAGTGGATGTTAATAAGACCCTTAAAGAAAGAAGCCATTAAGAATCTGAACATCCCCGAGCAAAATAAGAAGAAAATATTAACTAATTTTCTTTTTCTTTCATAGCAAGAAAGGACTTCAGAAGTGAAAAACAAGACTGTGCTATCCTACTAAGCATGAGCAGAATCACATTGAATAATATGGTGTACATAACTCCACCAGGTTGACAAAAATGTTTATATGTGTAAAAGCGTAAAACCAATGACATGGAAGAAAATATTTTCTACAGGGTAACATGCAACCAAATGTTAACTTTCAAAAGAAATACCTCTAACCACGGATATGACCTCGATAGTTCATATGTTGCAAAGCCACCACCACTATTCTGCACACATACCAGCAAAAAGTTTTCTCAGTGATTCCCAAGACTGCAGTTTCAGGAACAACAGGACCAAACAATAACAAAAAATTGTCTTTAAAACTTCAGAAAGGCATAGATTTTATTCGACTGGCTTTGAGGAAAGGACCTAGAGATGTTGCTAAAGTAAGCTCACTATCAACTGGTTGGAAAACTGCAAGTTAATTTGCGTAGAGCTCACTTCGAAAAAGACATACTCTAAAGTTCTCTGCATTATGAGACCAGAGGCAAACTTTTGGAATTCCAACACCTGAATCGGAACTAGTATATACAATCCCATAGAAAAGCCACAAGAAGATGCAGATCATTCTCATATCCAGAACATGATGTTGCAGATATTCTGAATGACTTGAGAAACCAGAAGATGCCTCAAATCAGAATCTTCAGATTCTAATCCAAAGGAATCTCTTTTTGTCACTAGTCCCAGCAGTATCATTTTTCACTCCCAATCACTAGCAATCTGGAACTACACCCATCCCATATCAATAAAATATGCAGAATGTTTAACAGATAAGTAGGTAATAAACAAAATACAGACACACACACAGAGAGAGAGAGAGAGAGAGAGAGAGAGAGAGAGAATAGTGGGAAGGGAAGAGGCAGTACGAAAGGACAAGAAAAATACAGAGCTTGTGTAATGCAGAGGGAAGCAGAGATCTATTTTATGTGAGACTACCTAGGGAGGTGGGAACTAATGTATAAGTTGTTTTACTTTTTACATGAAGTTAATGGAATGTCTAACAACCTAAATTTCAAATGGAATGGTATCCAAGTTATCCACTGCATGAGTTTGGAAAGCAATCCTGCTTCAAGTCAAACAAGTTAGCTTGATTTAGCTTTTAAGAAACCAAATTAGGCCCGGTTACAGTAATTTATTTGCAAGCACAGTGGACAAAATCATAGCAGGTGTTCTTCCTGTGTTTTATTAGAATATGTACAGAAGCCAGGGGCAAAAACTCTGCAAATGCCTCCTATCCTTTTTCAGTTTTCATAACTATAAACAAGACCAAAGTAGAGGCTTTCTGTCAGCTCCTAGTACACATTTTAAGATACTAGTTCTTTAGAACATTGTTGCCTAAAATATGATGCGCAACATGAATTTAGCTTAGTTACAAAAGCCTCTAAATTATAAATTTAGCTTATTTTTCCGCCAGAATGCATAAAATCCAAACTTAACATCCAACCGTCACATTAAACATTTTGGGGATGCAACTGAGAACCTAAAAGCATCAAAGAAAAATATTGAAGCCACTCTTGCAATTGTCAGTTTGTTTACCCACAAAATGCAGCCTTCACGTAAACGTGACGGAAAGTGCAATGCAAAGTCCATACACAAAGAAGTATGGAAAATGATATGAAATAAGAAGGAGAAAATGCTATTACCTGTAAAGAAAGCAAAACATTTACAGCATCATAGAAACGCTTTGCCTCCAATGGATCACCGACTATCTCTGATGGTAGTTTTGATAATAGAAGAGTTGCCTGGTAGACACTCACTTAGGTTAGCAGAAATGGAAACATATCAATGGTGGAACACTTGTTACAAATTCTTACTTTAAGTCCCTCTGCAGTACAATCTGAAATGGGCCATCCGTGATCTGCAGTTGAAAAGGGCCAAGCACCTTTTGAAATATGACGGTACCAGAAATCTAGATTGCCTGGGCAATCATCTAACACCTTCAAAACAAAGGAAGGAACTTGCAAGTTAGATCAATATCAGAGATAAAAATCAAGAAACTAATATGGCAGGTTACACCATAGATGATATGACAGAGAAAAGGTTTTACCTGTGTATTTTTTATGAATGAATGCGCTTTTCTCAATGCTGAACCATATTCCTCGCCAAGCTCTGTTGCAATGATTGCTTGAATTGCAAATGAAGTATCCCAAGATTGACTTCCATTGTATCCCTGCAATATGACAACATATCATATATATCATCAGACAAACAGAAAACAAGGCTTATAAATGACCAACACCAGTATAACTAATGTAGGACATTAAGAAACCCATATTTCAAACATTAAAACTGGGGACTGATATTTGTAGACCTTCATTTTCATGCCATCTTCAGCAACCCACATATAGTCATGAATTCTTGGAAGGTGCAACTTGAAAGCTTCTGAATTAGGATCTTCAACCCAGCAGCAAAGCATATTTAGAATCTGCAAATGAAAGGTCAGTTTTTTCAGGAAACAAAGGAAGATCATACTCTATATTATTCATCTATCAGGAGCAACTGAAACATGCAGACAAACAACAGAAGAATAAAAGAGTTGCCAAATAGATAACTCATTGGCCTAAAATTGAATGCAAGGAATTAAAGCTAAATAAATGCTTCAGAACAGAAAAGCATATGCAAACTGTATTTTGACACAATTTTGGAAAGGATCATCAAATGGATTAACAAAGACAATTACTATAGTGTGTGGATTAACAAAGACCTTTACTAATGGAAATTAAGGACCAATACCTTGTTTACAGGTCCTATGCATATGTAACGAGTGTTTTCATCTTCATAATGAATGTGCTCCATCACTGTGCGGAGAGCTTTTTCTCTCAATCTTTTCCCTGGCCAATGCATCAGAATAGGTTCCACAACCTTGTGAAGTGAAGCCCACAGGATATCTTGTACTAGAGGGTGCGGGTAGTAAAGGTCTTCCTGCAGAGAGTTTAGGTAAAGTAACAGAAGGTACAAACCAGAAAAGGAAAAACAGTATAAGTTGCAATCCACATGTCTTAGTGATGCAGACGAAGAAGCTACAATGGGTCTTATTACTTTTGGCTGCCAAGATCAAGTTATTTGCCAAGTTCATACATGTGGACTTGCTTCAAGCCTTCAAGTACAAGAAGCACAATTGTACAAAGTCAAAAAGGCCCAAGTCGTCAAAGAAGTCCAAGAAATCCAAGTTTGAAGTTTCATTGCAAACAAGATAAGGACTTTTTTTCCTTCCAAGAATAGGAATTCTTATTTGTCGTTTCAGTTTCTTAGTATGTTTACTGGAGCCCCAATATAATTCCAGACTTCTTTACCGCCATGAAAGGATGAATTTTCATAAGTATGCATGGACAGAAGATCTCTCAATGACATTACCATCAACGGCTATCAATCTGGTTTGAACAATGTTGTGCATTATTAGTATTACAAGAACATATGCTTGATCTTCGTGTTTATGTTTTATTATAACAGTGGTATCTGAGTCAGTATTCTAGTAACCCAAAAGGTAGGTGGCAATTGTGTCATTTTGCCAAAAACAAATGACAAAAGAAGTGCAATTAGTGGGCCATATCCCATAATGCAGACACAAAACAGGAATAAAGTGTTTTAAGGGTTTGATAGCTATCAGATTCTCCACAGAACTTTATAAACCAAAGGCCATTCATTTGGCTTTACTCGAAAGCCGAGAGCTAACGAAGAGGAAGAGAGAGGGGAAGAAGAGAAAGAAAAGGGAAGTTTTATGTGTTATATAGGAGTGAATGTTAGGCTGCCAAAGTTCAACACATCCACAAGATGAGTGCCGTAGAGATGCGGGTGCTAAGATGGATGTGCAATCAAACAATATTAGACAAGATTAAAAATCACGACATTCGTCACAAGATGCAACTTAAACACATTTAGGATAAATGAGATAAGGTCGCTTGAGTTGGTTTGATGATCTTGTGCACCAACCTCTGATACACTAGTCTATAGGTGTGAAATCATGGTGAGCGAAGGTGTTAAAAGGGGACAACGTAGACCTAAAATCATATAGAAAAAAATTGCTCAAAAGACCTACAATCTCTGACTTAGCAAAGATAGGGCACAATGGAAAAAAAATATTTATATACGTGATACCAATATGTTGGGAGTATGTTTTAGTCATGTTAATATGTTTACTTTAGGTCCTATGCTTTCTAGGAGCCTTTTGATCATATTATAGATTCTTATGCCAGTACAATATAGAAAACTTCTAGTACTTTCATTTTTAGTTTTATTTTGCATAATGTTGACCTCATATGAATTTAAATGGGAAAAATGGACAGTGGGGATTGACCGACCCCAACTGGTTTAGGACTGACGTGCAATAATTATTGTTTATGCCCCACTCTTTGAAGTTAAAAGGAGACATCCGTAGTTACTCTTCCAAATGAAAGCATCGAATAATAGTCTGTGAAGATTAGAAGAGAAAGGGCAAAAACCCGACATGGTAGGTTTTAGTGTTTTAAAAGAATGACTTAGGCGGTGCAGCATAAGCCCTGCGCTTCGCCTCTCTTAGGCAGCAATTTAGTCAAACAGTAAGGAACTAAAGCATGCCCCTGCTCATAGACTTCGACTTGAAGACGGCGACATTAAACTGTCAATATAGCTAAAGTAATTTTATTAATTATTATGAGACGCTGTTAATGAATATGTGAATACTTCTTAAAAATTTAACATTTTAGTGTTGAAAAATAGTAACTACATATTTTTTTATAGCTAAAGTGATCAACAGTCACTCGGTAAAGCCGAAGGTCTAACGGAAACAGTCTCTCTGTCTTCTTAAAGGTAGGGGTAAGGTCTGCGTACACACTACCCTCTGTGGAGCTACACTGGGTATGTTATATTTAAAGTGATCAACAGTCACAAAATATTGATCAAAAATTTAAAAATACATCTTAAATAGTACTTCAACTTAGTTCACAGGAATTATACTTCATAAATTTCACTTACTTAAATTTTTATTTATTTATTTGTTATATAACTATTATTTATTTTTATAGTTGTTTTTCTTGCATTACATGTATGTTTTTCTATTTTTTTCTCCTTGGTTGATGCCTTTCTTCATTACCCCCCCCCCCCCCCCCCTCTTTAAATTGCATATGCGCTTTAAAACATAGCTAAAAGCTGATCTTGGCATTTTCTTTGCTTTTCACCTTTAACGACACCGGGGTTTACTTCTAGGTAGATTTACAACGTGAATGAGATGATGATCGTTTCGCAAGTTATTGCATATTAGCTCGATCTATGTTATCATGATTTCGTTACAGTTGGATGTTTCTAAATCTTTTCAAGATTGTCCAGAACAGAAGGGGAAAAGCAGTAAATAAACACACGCAAATTACTGCTCCTACCAACCTTTGCGCACTCATTGCGTGCTTTATTCCAATCTATTTCATGATAAGGCACTGTAAAGAGCTCCTTTCTCAAAGATAACACTGTTGGCGTGATTGGGCCAACGAACCTTTTACCATACAGGTAGCACATAGGAAGATAAACCATCCTGCAGTGGCACCACATTCTTCCTGGAAAAATTGGATGAAACAAGAGTTTCCATTTCTTAGAAAAGACAAGAAGCATATATTCTTGAGAAACAAAATCAGCAATGCATTGAAATGCTCATAATACAGCTAACACCATGATTTGACTATTTAGCATTATTGCAACAAAGGCACCAATAACTAACACAAAAATGACAAAACGAAGTGAGTGATGACACAAAAAAAAGTTTTTCCTGTGAAAATATTATATCTTCGAACCTGTTTTGTTTCAAAATTTATTTTTATGAGCACATTAATAATGAGCTTATGTTTCGCCCATTTATCCACTTGCCACATTCACTGAATAGGTTGATTTTCCCATTATTCTATTACAGGTAATGATTTTCCAAAAAGAAACAAATGTAAGATGTTAAGGAAGGACACTAACCAGGATGAATTGGAAGCAAGTAAGGAAGAAGCCATATTTCCGGAGGAAGTGGATTGTTCCCAGACCAGTCGAATGCTCCAAGCACCTTATATTAATTTATGAAGGAATATAAAGTTTATTAAAATATACAATTTATTCATCCATCTAAAAGACATGCTTTCAAACCAAAAAGATGAGATCTAGAAGTTACTGAACTGCGAGCCACATTTTCCCCCACGAAGTAATGGCCGTGGCACTACCATGATCCAGAATCCATTTACGACCCTTCTCCATGGCCCCTTCTCCGTCATTAGCTCCTTCTCCAAGTAACCTTAGGGTAACATAGCTAAAAACAGAACCAAACATGGTGCTGTGGCCCTCAATGTGCAAGCCCCATCCACCATCACTGTTCTGCAATTCTAACATTGTTAGGACACAAGCTTTTTCGCCCAGCTCCAAGATGTGAATGTTGAAGGAAATTTTTTAAGGAAATATAATCAGCAAACTGAAAACAAAAGCAGAGATGCTGAGTTATCAAAAGGACTATACTTGCCTGATGGTTATAAAGATATCGAATCATTTCACGTTTATGTTCGCTTGTTAATACTGCATTGAGTGCCCCCGTAACAGATAGAGCAATGACCTGTTACAGATATAAAAGAAAACAAAATAAAATTGTAAAACAGAAATTATGACCCAATTATAGGGAATACGAAAATTAGAAGTATCTCTTAAAGTTAGGCAGCAAGTAGCAGCAATAGAAACATGTACCATGCCAGGCATTAGAAACATCGGCCCTCCATAATCTCCAGCCCAGTGACCATCAAGAGTTTGTAGAGTGGAATAAAAACTTAGTGCTCTTCTGAGCGTGGTAGCTACAGTATCTTCTGTAATATCTTCATTGCCTTGTACTTTGACTTGGGGCAAAATAGTAATTCCTGGATTCTCCTTTGATAGCTGATATACAAAAACAAAAGAAAAGGGGGAAGCTATGATGACATGAACTGGAAAATGGACATATACTCCAAGGGCTAAGTTGTATTTGTTCGGCATTCTCCTATTTTATGCCTGTCCCGAAAAGATTGGCACCTTCCTATATTTAGAAACTATTTAATGCAGATATTGTATTTTACCCTTAATGACATGCTAGGAATTGATAGGACTTGTGGATGCAAAGTTATTTTTGGTATTTTATGTATATTTAGCTTATATGTCAGAAGTCTTCCTCTTTTTTTTTTTTTTTGAATTTCGTGTCTAGTCAAACACCAGCAAGCAAACGGAGGAGTACTATTGTTCACAAACATCAACTTCTACAGGTTATGAACAATGTGATTACCGAGAAACCAAACAGATGTAAAGCAATACATAAGGGATATCTTATTTTGCATTCTCCCAAAAGAAAGCAAAATATAAAAAATAAGCCCTTCACTAGGGAGATTACACTCAAAATAAAACTACTATGAACAACTGATTTTTCGTTTCCAAATCCATTACATTTTATGGTACAACACACTCCCCTCATTCCTAAAAAAATGACACTAATTTCCTTATTAATCCATTCCAAAAAAGAATGGTACCTTTCTACATTTGAAAACAGTTTAACCTGAACTTCTCAATTTACCCTTAATGACAAGCTCTTGTGGCCACATAAATGTTATGGTATATTTAAGACCACAAGTTGCGAAATTCTTATAACCACACAAATGCTATAACATATTTAAAACCGCAATCCTATAGTCATCTTTCTTAAATTTCGTGCCAGTCAAACTACCCATATAAATTGAAATAGAGAGTAATAATTTTCTCTTGTTGATAAAAGGCACAACGTTTAGTCTTTTCATCACCGTTGATAAGAAACTTGCCGAAAACTAAAACTAAATGAAATTCGAGAATGATTCATCCCATCATAATGGATCTCTCCTACCACTACCTACTAGTAGATCGATTTAGAAAAGGAAAGAAATGCCGATTAAGCAATTCTTCCCATCCAAATAAAGCAAGTCACCCGTGATTTGATAGTTTCATATTCTGTTGATGCATGCCACCAGGATCCTCAAAGTCAAACCATTGTGTTCGTTCCTCATCCTCCTTCCAATCAAATCCAGCTAATAAAGCTTAGAATGAAAACATGAAAGCTATAATGATAATGTTTCTAGTCAATTCAAATGAGGAGGTTATCTTTAGATTGTTAACTTCTCCTTTCAAAGTACGGTGTCAAAGTCACTAGAGATTTTCTAACAAACATTGCTCAGCAAGACATTCTGCCACATATTCTCTCAAATATCATGAGCGGAAAGATACAAAGATTTGAGAGTTTGCTTTTTCTTTTTCTTCGTCCCTTTTTTTTTTCCTGTTTTGGTGTGTGCCTATGATGAAATAATCGGAAAGTAGAGACAGGTAGATTATATACTTTTATCACAGCCTACAACACCTTTTTGGTCTTCTATCAAATTCCTTGGAACTAGAGACAGGTAGATTATATACTTTTATCACAGCCTACAACACCTTTTTGGTCTTCTATCAAATTCCTTGGAACAATTTTTTGGACGTCAACAAATCAAAAAACACAGTTCTTCGAAAAATCACAATAAAGTAAAGGAAAAGGAAAGTCACACCTTACCAAAAACAAAAGGAAGTCACTTTATTGCAATCAATCAACTACAACTACACCCTCTAAATTCATTGTGCTCTAACAGGCCCTATTAAGAGGATCATCATAGTTAGACTATTTTTACATTAGCTCTCAACCTACTGCAACTTTTCTACTTTGTTAGACAAAGAAAATTTTAAAGAAGAAACGATTTTAACTCAAATATCCTACTGCTTTTGTCCCAACTCCTTTTGTTCCAATTTATGTGACACTTTTCGCTTTCCGAGATTCAAACTATGTGAACTTTGACCCTCATTTTAAGATGTATTTTTTCAACAAATTGATATGGGAAAAAATACAACTTATAGTACTTTTGTATAGTTTTTACAACAACAACAACAAACCCGGTGTAGTCGCACAAGTGGGGTCTGGGGAGGGTAGAGTGTACGCAGACCTTACCCCTGCCTTTAAAATGCTCGGATCGGCTCAGGGAGGAATAAGAAATAACACCAAAGCGAAAATACAAAACTAACACTAAGTAATGCAAACAGAAAACCGAAACAAGGCAGCAATAGAAATAACAGCAATCTAAGGATATAAAGAAGAACCAGAAGGACGCTAAGAGATGTAACAAAGCTACTATGACAAACAAGGACCACACTCAGCTACCTAACCCTCTACCTTTATTCTCAACATGCACACCTTCCAATCAATGGTCATGTCCTCAGTCAGCTGGAGCAATGCCATATCTTGCCTAATCACCTCACCCCAATACTTCTTCGGACTGCCTCTACCTCTGCGTTGGCCCTCCAACGCCAGCCTCTCACACCTCCTCACCGGAGCATCAGTGCCTCTCCTCTTAACATGCCCGAACCATCTAAGTCTCGTCTCTCGCATCTTATCCTCCACAGGGGCCACGCCAACCTTGTCCCATATAACTTCATTTCTAGTTCTATCCAACCTGGTATGCTCGCACATCCATTTCAACATTCTCATTTCAGCCACATTCATCTTCTATACATGAGAGTTCTTGACTGGCCAACACTCCGCCCCATATAGCATAGTCGGTCTGACCACATTCTTAACACACAAAACACCGAAAGTAAGCCTCCATTTCATCCATCCCGCACCAATACGATGTGTGGCATCCTCGTCGATCTCCCCATTCCCTTGTAAACAGAATCAAGGTACTTGAAACTTTCTCCTAGGAATGACTTGTGAATTAAGCCGCACGTCTTTGTCCACAACCTCAGTCGCGCTACTGAACTTGCACTCAAAGTATCTTGTTTTGGCCTGCTCAACTTGAAACCTTTAGACTCCAGAACTGCCTCCAAACCTCTAACCTTTTGTTAACACCACATCGCGTCTCGTCAATCAGTACAATGTTATCTGCAAATAACATGCACCACAATACCTCCCCTTTAATGTGACGCGTCAGCGCGTCGATTGCTAGGTCAAACAGAAATGGGCTAAGGGCTAACCCCTGATGCAACCTCATCACAGCCGGGAAGTGTTCGGAGTCCCCTCCCGCTGTCCTCACCGAGTCTTAGCTCCATCAATGTATGCAATAGGAACGCCTCTAACCTCCAAACATCTCCACAACACCTCCCTTGGCACTTTATTGTACGTTTTCTCTAAGATGATGAACACAATATGTAAATCCCACTTCCTCTCCCTATACTGCTCCATCAACCTCCTAACAAGGTGAATAGCTTCTATAGTTGAACGCCCCGGCATAAATCCGAATTGGTTCTCTGAGATAGACACAATCTTCCTCACCCTCCGCTCCACCACCCTCTCTCATACTTTCATAGTATGACTCAGTAGCTTGATATCCCGATAGTTATTGCAATTTTGGATATCACCCTTGTTCTTATATAATAGGTTCATCATACTCCATCTCCACTCCTCAGGCATTTTCTTCGTCCTAAAAATGACATTACATAACCCAGTTAGCCGTTACAAGCCCACCCTACCCACGCTCTTCCAAAGTTCCACCGGGATTTCGTATGACTGGTCGCTCTTCCCCTGCTCATCTAGCGCATAGCCCCCTCTACCTCCTCAAATTTTATACGCCTACAATACCCAAAGTCCCGACGACTCTTGGATTGTTCTACGTCACCCAGCACAGTGTTCTTATCCCCCTCTTCATTCAAGAGTTTATGGGAGTAAGTCTGCCATCTCCGACGAATAAGTGCCTCATCCAACAATACTCTGCTGTCCTCATCCCTGATGCACTTCACTTGGTCCAGATCACGGGCTTTCATCTCACGCACCTTGGCTAGCCTGTAAAACTTTTTATCCCCTCCCTTGCCTACAAATTTAATTTTCAAATATTGAGTTAACTTGTTTCAATTTAGCTTCAAAGATTAGTCAAATTGACTCTCGATAAGCGAAAAGTGCCACATAAATTGGGACTGAGGGAGTTCACTTCATTTGGGGATAAATCTTTTGCAGACCAATTATCCCATTACTTACCCTATAAACCAAATATGCAAAAAGTATAAAAGATATTTAGTTTCTGACACATTGCTAGTTAATCATTAAATGTCCATGGCTCTAACATAATATTTCAAGGAATCCAGGAGTCCAACAACAAAACAAACGAGCAGAAACGGATAGAAGAGAGTGACTGGATACGTACACAACCTGACATTAGTTCCAATTCATCAACAACCTGACATGGATTACAAAGCTTAAATTTTCCAAATAAGACAGTCTTAGAAGCTGAACAATTGCCAACTCATAAATCATTCTAATAAAAATATAAAAATAAAACCAGAAAAACCTTTCAATACTCAAGTCTTAATCCTTTTGACAGATTCTAGGCCCATCCTTGTAGATCAAAATGCGCCAGTTAGATAGTTAGCAACAGTCTAAACACAGACCACATTATTGTTGTCCTAATTACTTCTCATTTAAATGTCAACTATAGAGACTTTTTATCTTTAAGTCATGCAGTTCTGAACAAAGTTGAAAGCAAAGACACCATAATTTCACATTAAAGTTAAAGTTGCACTAATTATCCATAAGCAATAGAGCAACCAAGCACAAAAAAACTGCCAGAGCAACGAAATATGAAGAAACTGGCAGACCATATACAATGATGTATAATTGAGCATAGCGGGAATAGAAACAGGGAGTTACTTGACAGAAAAGATTGATTAATCAAGTCCATTGAAGGTCTCCAATTCGAGTCCTGGGTATGGAAAAAAAATACTCGTACGGAGCGCTTCCCCCTTTAATGGGCCTTACGTGGTGCGAACCCGAATTACACGGACCCAAAAAAAATCAAGTCCATTACAAGATCAAAGCCAACAAAGAAATTGCTCTGGCGTGGTTGTATTTTCCTCCACCATGTAAAGCAAATCAATCCCTTTTCAAAATGTACACAAAACACAGAGAACTTGAACAGTACAGCACTAGATAAACACAACATATCCATTATTCTTTGAAGCTGACACCTCTGTGCTGGCTATAGACGGACGTACAGAGCGTCAAGGACGGGCTATGCGTCCCTAAACTTCTGAAAAACATATTATCATACTTTTTTTATAATCCAAACTTCACTATTACGGTAAATAATGGGTCCGCCCCTCTACCCTCTAAATCAATTAACATACCTGCATTTTTCAACACCCCCTCCCAAATACTGGAAACCTTATTCGGCTAATGTTGAGTAAACTATTGCCATTAGCGTTAAGTTACTTCGAAATTTCCTTTTGTGTAATTTTCTTCCAGCATATTGTTTACTGTCAAACTATATAAATCACAGAAAACAAAAAGGTTTAAAAATTAAAAAATAAACTTATACATTTAAGATTTGTATAGTAAGACTAACAGGATATGCTAGCCAAAAGTCCTAGACCCGCCCCTAGTGCAGTAGTGCATGCAAACTAAGAACAGCAGTTTTTGAGCCAAAATGCATTTGCTAATTTAATTAAGGAGGAACTAGACTTTTTTTTACCTGATAACGCATAATGAGATCAGCACTATGCTTTTGCTCAAAGCGATGTTTGTGGAAATGCTCACGAAACTTCTCGATCTCCGCCCGATCTTCCGGAGATCCGAGTTCTGGATCAAACTCCCATAGCTCCCTACCTACATGATTGTTCGTTGTCCGTAGCCATGGATTCCCTCCTTCTGCTATCTTCAACTTCCACATTCTTCTACAGATTCACTCCGATTACTGCAACATGAATAAATAATCACAAATCACATACTCAAATTTTGCATAAAAAAAGTTAGTGGATTGTTAACCACGTTGAGAATTGAGATAAAGCTAAATCGAGGACTTACAAACACCATGAGCTGTGTGAAAATAACAACCATTAAAACAAGTGACAGTGATAGGGAACTGAAGAAATAATTTCAGAAATGGGTAGACGAAAATAAATAGTACTAATAACTAAAAATGGACAAAAGATAAGAGCAAATGTATGTCGACTCCGAAAAAAAAGGGATTAAGAAGCAATAATTCAAATGTATATCTCTTTTAAGCGTATGAATTCTGAAAATTAAAGAAAAACATAGCAGAAATCAATCGAATAATAGAACAAAAAAACAGAGGCGTGAGAATGCATTATGGAAATCGTAGTGAATCTGATGATGAATACAAGAAGAAGTGCACACCTGTATGGATTAATTGAGAATCTCGAAAGAGATGGAGAGAGTCAGTGATTTGTTTTTTTTTTTTTTT